GGCTGAGAAAGAACAATGACTCTCTCTTTCTGGAGGTTCACTAGTATTAGATATGCTGTTGGAAGTCAAAAGTATTGTCTCTGACGATTAAAAGAGATGAGTTTCGTGTTTCAGGCGTTAAAGCTAAGAAGATATTCTTTGTCAAAGTTAACAACAGATTGTAAATCGTTTTTGAGATCAATTGCCAATTTGACCGTATCAAACCGATCAAACTGATTGTTAAGACTTAATTATTAACATTAAGATCAGATGCAATATTTAAATTAACGTGAGATCTACAGAGACATTAATTATTTATATCCTGTTGAGCATAAAATTATCATCTTCCCAGGAAATTGCATGACTGCCTCTTCAGAAGCAATAAATTACATCTGCTGTCTCGATATTTCTAGACGTTTTAACCAGAAACTTCTTTGATCTTCTGCATTCGTAATTTTATTGCTTATATTTGAATATTACTAACAAAACCCGTGAAATTTTTAATTTCTTCTATTTGAATTTTCTGATTAATCATAATTTAGTGATTGAATTAAAAATCTTGCAAGTCTATAAAATACCTGCACATATTCACTTATTGCAAAGAGCTCATCAAAATTAACAATACTTTCTTCTTCTTGTATGTGCCGTGTCCATCCATGACGTATGAGATCATGGCTCTCCACATCTTCCTGTCCCTTTGAAGTTTTAATAAGTTTTGTCTTTTTGTTATTTAACCCAAACCATGTTCAGCCATCCATTTCTCAAGCCCATCACGTATATTACGTGTTGCTTTCCGCTGTCCCTCGTTCCCTCTATCCGTCCTGTGAGTATCAGATTTTCCAAGCCCTTCTTCCTTATTACGTGCCCCAGATATTTCAGCTGCCTCTTCCTGATGTTAAGTATGTTTCCTTTTTGTTTCCTTTCTCTCCAAAACCTCGTAGTTGCTCAGAATTTCGGACCATCCTATCCTCAGCATGTTTCTATAGAACGGCGTTTCTGTTGCTTCAAGTTTGTTCTTCATCTTTGAGGAGATCGTCCAATATTCGATGCCACACAAGGAGGACAGATATCACCTAACAGCTCAGTACAGTTTTCTTTGTTTCTAACGAAATTTTTCTGTCTCTTAATACTCTGCTTAGCTTTTGGAATGCATCTTTAGCCATCCCAATATATCTTCAGATCTCAGTATTGCATTTTCCAGCCTCTGTTAGAACACTTCCCAGATACTTCCCAACTTGTAAGATCAGAAATATGAATGCATATAAACAATAAAATAAAACATTGTATACAATTTACTTTTTATTTATCTTATCATTCGGACCAGTTCCGAACATTATTCATTACTAGTCTCCATGTTTGTGTTATAGAAAAGGCATTGATACGATGATTTAATGATCATCATTGTTATTGAAGGCAATATAGAATATTTAAAGATGTAAATAGTTACAAATGAAACGATTCAAACCTGACAATGTTTGCCATTACAATGAAAAAGATATTAAAATCCCGGATGCGTTAACGCTTCTTTTCTTTTCTCTTACTTTCTAGCTTTCTGTCTTTATTTTTCTATGATGTATGCCCCTCTCCCTTTCTCACTAAAACCAAACACCGTTTATATTTTTTCCGTCTTTACCCGACATTAATAAGTCATGATCCTTTACCTCTCTGAGATGATAGCAGGCCGTAAAGCACGGGTTAACCACATTTTACAGAGAAAAAAGCAGACTTTTAATAGAAATGCCTATCAAAATATCTCGGTCTTCTGATGGGAAATTTCTTAAATCAATGTGTGTGTATATGTCTGGTGGGGATCAAATCTGTACTTACCATGACGCCATATTCCTTTTCAGATAGAAATTGTGGCTATGACTCTTTTCTTTTTTTATGGAAGAGCGTACACTGCTGGTGAAGCGGAAATCATCCGAGATTGGACAATAAATTGCCAAGATGAGTCGTATGGTGTGCATTTCGGAAGGTGAAAAAAGTTGTAGCTGATGGAAGGTACACAAGTCAATTTCGGCTGGGTCACCGTGGAGAGTGGGTATGATGTTGAAAGACCCGAATCCCCTAATGAACCTCGGCTCGTAACATCACTGATGATGTGTACTAAAGCATCTAATAGATGTTTTTTACGAAATGATTGAATAAGCGCATAACAAGTTCTACATCAATGACATGCCAGTATAAATTCCTCTATCGTATCGTTAAATACTTGAACTTAAAAATATTAAGAAAATATTGCAATAACAATTACAAATATGACAACTGGTCATTATTCTAAGAAATGAGAGTAAAAATGAACAATTTTCTAATTGACAACCTTGTCTGTGTTACTGGAACAGATATTAAAAAGCTCAAACTTCCCCTCCTTTCCTCCTTTCTTTCTCACTTTAATTTTTTCACTGAAACCAAGTAGCGTCTTTGATATGTCTTTTCCGTCTTTCCACGCGATCAAAATAGAATACGCCATTATTTATGAGGTATTCGCAGAGAACGTTAAACACTTCTATCTATCTTTCTTCCTTTCTTTCTTTCTTTTCTCGCCGAATCAATATAGCGCCCCTAATATGTCTTACCGTTTTTCCACGCAATCATAAT